GACAAAGAGAGAGAGAGAGAGAGACAGAGACAGAGACAGAGACAGAGACAGAGACAGACAGACAGAGAGAGACAGAGAGAGAGAGGGGGGGGGGAGCAAAGGCGAACAGACGGGACGGGTCCAAAGGTCGAAACGTGGGGTGGCTACACTCCACTCCACAACACAACCCTACACAACACTACAGTAACAGCCAGAGCGGGCCAGATAATCTGGAGAGGAGACATTACTGTGGCTCTGTAGCTCCACCTGTACTGATCATGATCGACGCGGGTCGCTGCCTGCCCAGACCTCACTGGTCCGCGCCGGCAACACGCACAGTCACAGGTCGGCCGCGCGCACTCATTGACTTAGTTTAGTTTTAGTTTAGTAGAGTAGAGGTTTAACGGCGCTCGCAACTGCATACGGTCATATGAGCGCCAAGGGGTGGGTGTCAACAGAAAATTCCTAACAGGGAATCAGACTTACTCTGCTCACCTCTCTTTTTTTTAATATAGTAGAGGGTTTTACGGCGCTCGCAACTGCATAAGGTCATATGAGCGCCAAGGGGTGGATGTCAACAGAGTAGTCCTAACAGGAAATCAGACTTACTCAGCTCAGCTCTCCGGCAGTGTACGATACTACATTCGTATCGTCTAACCCTATCCGTATGCCCTGGGGTCATTTTGTACCCCCCCCCCACCGGGTTGTATTCTTCACATTTTAGAATACACGTACTTCTAGTGCGAAGTTCTCTTTGAAACTTTCAGTATTTCTCAAAAAGTCATTTTGACAGACTATTATGCAAAGCGTACGGATCGGATTCACGAGAAAATTTCCTCTTTGGAAAGTGGCGGCACAGAGTTCCCCACGTCGTATGAACACGATAGTAAAACACGACGTACGGATAGGGTTCAGGAAGTTTAACGCACTTGCGACACAATAATGTTATGATATAAGTGCCGATACTACTAAGTTCAATAGCAAAGAAGGAACTCTTGATAAAGATATACACATTATTTCCTGCATAGTGGGATCGAACTCGTGTCCTTTGGGCAGTAAAAAGGCGGTGAAAGGCGAAGGGATTATCCGTTAAACCGCACGCCGCATACAGAAGCAAAGACGCGGAACCGGAAAACAGCCCATGTCTCAGTATGGACCAAAAAAAAGTCCATGCCTCGCAGAACGGTAAACCAATAAGCCGACTCGAGACAGTAGTCACACACGCACAGGCTGTCCGACAACCAGCCCACCCTTCAAGAACGCCGCACACATACATACAGCAAA